ACAGGAAGTAAAGAACAGAACTACAAACACAGATAATCAGGAAATAATAGCTCAGTATTTTTTATTTTATTAAATACTAAATATAATAAAAATTTACGAGAATTTACTGTTACTGTTATAAATCATAGAATCATAGAATAGTTAGGGTTGGAAAGGACCTTAAGATCATGTAGTTCCAACCCCCCTGCCATGAGCAGGGACACCACACACTAAACTATGTCGCCCAAGGCTCTGTCCAGCCTGGCCTTGAACACCTCCAGTGTTGGAGCATTCACAACTTCCTTGGGCAACCTATTCCAGTGCCTCGCCACCCTCACTGTGAAGAACTTCTTCCTTATATCTAACCCAAAGTTCCCCCTGTTTAAGTTTAAAGCCATTACCCCTTGTCCTACCACTAGAGTCCCTAATGAAGAGTCCCTCCCCAGCATCCTTGTAGGCCCCCTAAAAGTTTTAGGAGAACTGTTTTCAACTGTCAGTCATAAAGAACTCAGATTTCCACCAATGTGTTGGAAAGTAGAGGACCTCTACTAACTCTGAAACTGATAAATTGAATTGAATCTTTTGAATGAAGCCAGGCTGTAGCAGTGGACTTACGAGTTATTAGCTTTTTTTTTTTTCCCCTCATTTTCAGCACTGAATTTTGCCTTGAACATGATACATATGATCCTGAAAAATTAAGAGGAAGACCTTCTCAGTAATGTTAAATATTCTGTGTGCTGGGTACTATCAGCAGGTACAGCCTGCAACAAACGTGTTTATCCAGCAGAATTATCTCATTATTAGGACAGTAACGTAATGTGGCTTATTTCGTAGCCTGAAATCACACAAGAAGATAACTGAGTGAATGATATTTGTCCTGGATCCTGTATTGTGCTGTTATGTGTAGCACTAGCTGGCAGCCTATTAAAATAGAGATCAGGGACTATTATCATTTGTACGAAGGCTGCTCTGAAATTTCAAAGCTGTTGAATTATTCAAGTGTTTTCCAATTTATAAAATAAAATAGAAGATGATTGACTGCTTGATGATGTGATGATAGAAATAAAAACATTGAAATGTCTTGAGTATGTTTTTTTTTTTCCCCACAGTTGCTTTGAACCAGCATAAATGTAGGTCTTGATTGTGTGTCAGTAGCAGCCATAACTAAGAAGGGAAACATTACATATTTTCTTTGGTTAATGCCCTACTTTTACACAAATTAAATAAAGAAAATCCAGCCAAAATAGAAATGAACCACAGTTACAATTACAGATCCCTCTATTTAATATTAACAAGTCTGAATTAACATTGCTCTCCTCTGTCCCTGTTTATAAAGGCAGTAACACAAGTGTTTAACATGCAAATACAAACTATTTTTAAGTTACCAATGTCAATAGAAAAATCTAAAGATTTCTATGAATGTTAAAGGCATCATGAATATAATTAGTCTTTGGGTCTTGGAAAATGTATTTTTACATGCTTCAAGGAATTTGAAAATCATTATGTTAATTAGGATTCTGATATCCAAGTTTTTCTACACTAAAAAATGAACATGCTCTACACACCACATGCACTGTGTACATAGGAAGTGTCACTCACAGCGCACGCATCTGTCAGAGTGTTCACAGTAATCTAATTTTTAAGGACATGACAGTCTATTTTTCTTTCCATAATTTGGTTTTAAGCCTTTGTTTATACTTAGTTACAGTGAAATAGTAGCATTTTAAGCACAGATAGACAGTTTTCTCCTGAAATATCGCAGTTACCACAAAGTATCACAGAGGGATGTCTGCGTCTTATGATGAGAATGATGAACTTCTATTATATCTGTCAAAATTGCATTAGCACCTTCTCATAGATGAAGGCACATTGGCTGAGCAGTGGTATGAGGTATTTCCTGGAAAGATTTTCTAAGTTATTAAAGCTACCAGCTGTAATAAAGTTAATACAGTTCTAAGTTAATTGAATGTCAATGTTGGCAGAGTTTAGTTGGTATAATATTTCTGTAAGCAGGAAGAGAAACATTTTCATGTTCACTTTATTGAAAGTAAGAAGAGGATACATGTTTTCTTAACATTATCACTGAATGTAACTGTAATAAATCACAGAATTACAGAGTGGTTGAGGTTTGAAGGGACCTCTGGAGGTCATCTGGTCCAAACTCCTGCTCAAGCAGGGCCACCTAGAAATAGTTGTCCAGCATGATGTCTAGCTGGCTTCTGAATGCGTCCAACGGTGGAGACTCCACAACCTCCCTAGGAAACCTGTGCCAGTGCTCAGTCATCCTCACAGTCAAAAAGTATTTCCCAATGTTCAGAAGAGCCTACTGTGTTTCCTCTGGTCCTGTCACTGGGCACCAGTGGAAAGAGCCTGGCTCTGTCCTCTTTGCACTCTCCCTTCGGGTATTTATATTTAAATAAGTTACCCCCTCAGCCTTCTCTTCTCTAGGCTGAACAGTCTCAGCTCTAAACCTGTGGTCATAGTAAAGGTGGTCCAGTGCCCTGTCCATCTTTGTGGCCTTTTGTTGGACTCTCTCCAGTCTTTCCATGTCTCTCTCATACTGGGGAGCCCAGAACTGAACACTGTTACTCCAGGTGCAGCCTCACTAGTGCTGAGTAGGCAGGATCACCTCTCTCAACCTGCTGGCAATACTTGGACTATTGCAGCTCAGAATACCTTTGAGTTCCAGTGGACATACAATGCCTGCATATTCATTCTATTGTTAAGATTCTCCTTAAAACTCAGGAACTGAACTTTGATAGTTTTCAGCAGTTTGGTGATGTTCTGTCTGGTTTTGCCTGTGAGTGTGGAATACCTGTTAGCATGTTTGCCTAAGCTTCCTAAGGTGGACTGCACATGATCCTTAGCACTTTTTAAATGAGGAATAGCATGCTGAAATAAAGTCAAGAATATCTGCTCTGCTTAGTTAATCCTTCATTGATCCTTGATGAAGGCTTAAAACAGAGTTGGTGTTATTCTGCTATATGTTCTCATGGATTCATCAAGTTCATGGAACTGGGAACCATTAGAACTGAATATCCTGAGAGAGAAAACATGACTAGCAGACTAATATTATAAACCGAAGTGTACTAACTCAATTAGGCAGTAAAAGGGAATATTACAATTTGATAATAGTACGATGAAGAAGCTATTACATGGTAACTTATATAATGGAATTAATGCTGCTGAGAGGTGCCTGTTATTTCATTTTTGGCATAGGTATTTAGAAGCAGAGAGGAGTAGAATCATATCAGAGAGAGAATGCTCTTTCAGAAATGTAGAAAATTAAAAGATCAAAGATGTAAATAAATTCTGAAGTAAATGGAAGTTAGTTTCTTAAGTAAGTCCTGTGGGGAAGCTAATAGTGTAGACTTCTCTCCACTCACTTAAAATTTCTGCAAGAGTACATCTATGTCTTATTAGACTCTTGTAAAGGTTTGTAATTTTTAGGGACTGTTGGGTAGGAAAATTGGAAAGGGGTCATAATATTGTCCCTTCACAATCTTAAAGTAAATGCAGGAGGAGACAATCCAAAGATAAACAAAATATTTTTTCTCTGTGTGAATTTCTCTATGTGAATTCTGTTCACAATGCAAGTTGATTCTAAAGTTTTTATTATTTTTTCCTCCATCTTTCAATGATGTATCATCTTCGGCTATTAGTTACACAGACATGTGTAGAGATGTTCCTGTCTTTTTTATTTAATTTTATTATGTATAATAAGTACTGTGGTATTATCCAAATGTTAATCTCAGAAGTTGCTCACTGGCGTGCTATTTTCCTAAAGAAGAGCTGAAACATGTCTATGTTTAAAGTGCTAATACTGCTTTATGTTGCACAGCATCTTGAATTCACCATGAAAGTCAGTATTCAACTAACTATAGGGTGAGAGGCATTCGATGTGACTTTAGGTTTGCAAAAGTTGATCTAAGCTAACTAGTTGTCTAAGCTCTTCTGAAGTTAATAAAAAGAAGTAGCAAATTCAAAGACCAAATATGTATATGAGCCATAGATATTCATTTCAAGATGAAATAAAAATGACTGGATTAAGACTCTGATTAGCTAGCTGAGGCTGGACACAAAGTTTTTAAATGAATGAACCTAATGGTCAATTTCCATGGCTGTAACTCCTTAAGGAAAAGAAAACATAAGCTTTTGTTAAGGAAGCCATTGTAGTAAGTGTCTGTTTTCCTTTTGTTGTTTTGGTATTCTTAGCTTCTAACTTAATGGGAAAAAGGGAGGGAGTTTGGGTAGTCTTTTGTTTTGAGGTTTTGATTTTGTTGCTGGGATTCAGAAAGTCAAACATCTGCTATTGCTTTCTGATGAACAGTTATTGTGGGACAGTATTGGTAGTGGCTGAAATTATTCAGCAGGCAAAAATAAAACCATTAATCACTTAAATAAATCTATAATGTACTTCAAGAAGGTAAAAAATTACAAGTCAGATCTGCTTAACTTGTTCTTAAACAATCAATTAAAAATACTGACATTCATCTCCTTGGCAGTATCTTTTTGCACATTTGCTCTGATTGCTCTAAGATTCTTCTCCTTCAAGTCTAACCCAGACTTTCACATTTTTTTGGTTCAGGCCACAAATCTTTGTCCTAATGTCTTCTGAGACTGAATATGTTCTTTCATTTACATGGTTACCCTGAAGGTATTTTACTGATACAATTCACAGAAACTTCATCTACCACATGGCCTGTGTGTCACAGTGATTTCACTCCAGTATTTTATAACAGGCCATGCTGGAGTTACATGATAGAAAAAAGCAATTGCTCAGTTAGCTTAGAAATTAACAACATTTAACACAAAAATCTCATAATAGCTCTGTTCTGCATAGACAAGTACATCACATTAATAGTGTGAAAATGCAGTTATTTTTTCAGATATCAAGAGTACTGCTAGTCATTGAGTAGACCTTTTCACAAATACAATGCTTTCCCACAATAAAGGTTGCTGTGTGAATAGTGCTATCTGAAGCCTTTGATAATCTCTTGTAATTTTCTCTTCTCTTTTAGCTGATGGATGCACTGACTGGTCTGTGGATTACAAGAAATATCAAGTTCTAGTGGGAGAACCTGTTCGTATAAAATGTGCACTCTTTTATGGATATATTAGAGCTAATTACTCCCTAGCCCAGAGTGCTGGACTTAGTTTGATGTGGTACAAAAGCTCTGGACCTGGGGATTTTGAGGAACCTATAGCTTTTGATGGAACTAGAATGAGCAAAGAAGAAGACTCCATTTGGTTCCGACCAACAGTGGTACAAGACAGCGGGCTCTATGCATGTGTTATAAGGTACTATATTTTATATCCTGCATTTAATTAACCACATATGAAACAAGTGTCTTAATAATGAGACTTCTGTGCCGAAGAAAAATGTTTTCTGAACGTGTTGCTTTTAATTCTTCTCCTCATATTCCCTTCCCTGAAGTACTTCATGCTGAAGTAGAAACTACTATTGAATGTCTTGGACATGTTATAATTGGGTTTTGTAGAAATCTACTTAATTTATAGCAAAATCTAAAATTTATAAGGTGGCTGGGAATGGATGCATGTCATCTGTTCCTGCTTCTGATTCTGGTTTAACTCTTACAATCTTACTATCCTAGAGTAAAAAGTTTCACATTCAGATTTATTTTTGTATGGATTTCATTACATGGTTTAATTTAAATCTTTTTTTTCTATAAAAAATGTCATTTGATGTAAAATAGTTACATCAAGGAGAATGGAAGGTGAAATTTCAGCATTTTTACAGGCACGCATCCTCTAGAATCACATCTGGCCGATGTGATAATGGATGCTGGGTGCCAGATATCTTCCAAAGGTATTTAACCTTCTGATGCATCAAGCTTTATCACCATAAATTGAACTAGATTCTGCCTCCTCTTTTCCAAAACAGGTGTTCAGCTTCTTTCTGCATCTTTAAAATAGTTTGCACTGAATATTGTTTCCAGCCGTTTGCAGTCAAAAAGTTGACCTAGGCACTTTCATACCGTCTCACAGCCTTATACTAGATTTACACTAGACTTGAAATTCTACAGGTTAGAATTTGTACACAGAAAGTACAGTGAAGGGTCATTACTTATTTTTCAAAGGTTTGAAACAGTTGGTTACTGCAGTTAGTGGAACAGATGAAGCAATGTGCTTCTCTGTCTGAATATCTATAAGAATGGTCTTGCTACTCATACAGAATAGAAAAAGTTTTGATGAGGGTGGGGGGAAGAAGAGGGGAAAGGTAGGGGACAACACTGTCTGGGTCATGTGTGGTGGAGATTTTTGCCAGATTATGTGATTTTAAAAACATTTGTTCTTTGAGCTCTTTACATAACCTGTGAGACATTTTATATCACAGTATTTGTTCAAAAGCCTTCTCAGTATCATTCTGATGATGATGATGGTTTTCTTTTAAAGAAAATAAAAAATATCCTACATGTTAAACTACTTAAGAAGAATATTTAGTTATGTTGAGTTTCTAGTTTTTCTCAGATAAGCATGTAACAGTCACCATGAAAATGGCAAGTTTTGTCAATTATTCCATGATGCTATTTAAAACACCCCTCTGTTTACATAAACAAAACCTTAAAAATCTGATATTGCACTTTCCAGAAAGTATAGTGGTTTTTTAATCTGGAGGTAGGTAAAGTCATGTTCTAATCTGCTTAAGATACATAGTGTTTCCTTACATATGTTCCTGAGATAAACATGTATTACTTGATATTTTAATCTGAAAGAAATAAAATTAATTACTCAGCAATATAATGTTTCTGTTTTTTCCGTCTCTCCTTCAGGTTTTTACACTATAAAGTAATTATCTGAGGGGAAAAAAAACCCAAAAAAACCTGAATTGACACCATCTGACAAACTTACGTGCTCTATCTGTATTTCCAAAGTTATTGCTACAGAACTAGCTAGAAAAAAAAACTCTCACATCAAGTAGCTCTCTACTACTTTTACTGCTTTTTTGTCCCATCAGAATACTGAGTCCTGCTGTCACTTTATGTTGGGTATTGGTAGAATCTACCAAAGAATCTGGGGAAAGCTTAGTGGGCAAGAACTCTAATTTCAGTCAAAGAGCAACATGAAGATTGCAGAGATAGGATTTAGGAGTTTTTTCTTACAGGTTTGAAGTTCTTGTTTATTTTAATGGTGAGGGCTTTAAATGCCTTTAGAATGATGTTATAAGCTATTTTAGTTTTGAAAACTCAATTGAGAAGCTCAGGTAAGAGGCTTAAAATTTTCTAGTAGCAAACTTATATTCAGTGTGATGCTTGCAATAACTTGAGTAGGACAGCAGAGAGAAAAGATGCACCTGTGCAATAATAAGAGCAGGCAGTAAATGGTAAATGGGTAAAAGCAAAACTGTGCTTTGAGTAAATTTATGGCTCTGTCTAGTTTTTATTTCAGGCTAACTTGAAGGGGTAGTCCAGTGCTTTCAATTTTCTTTGCTTGGAAGCTCCTTTCTTCACTTCTATCTTTGCTACCTGTGCCAACAGTAAGGAAGAGAAATATATCTATTGCACAGGATGCATAGAGAGCCACATGCTGGAACAGACTCTGTGGCACTAAAAGAACGATATTAAAGGCTAGTTAGTTGACCAAACCAATTTCTGCAGTTAGTACATTGCAGTAGAAACATGGAGTTTCATTGACTAGAAATGTTTACATTTTTGGTAAAATTAACCTAGGGATAGCAGTGAAGGCTGGCTATTTTTCCTTCAGAAGCAGGGAAACAACCTTCATCCTCATTCATTACTGTTCACAATAATTGTTTAATTTCTTATCCCTGCTTTTCTTCTTATGGGAAGCTGGCTGACATAAAGGAATTGAAAAAGTCAAGACAGAGCCTTATTACCAAGGCAGTGCTGCACACCCATAGCTGGAGAAGAAGAGATAGACAGCTAGAAATAGCTTTCAGTTTACTACCTTGTAGGTAGTAAACTGAAATGTGAACTGACTGGTAGAAAATGTATGGGCTTTTACCCTGCTTTCAAGGAAGAAAATAATGTAGTTTGTTTCAGGTATGGCACTGTACCATTCTGATGCAAATTCTGCGTGCTGAATTTTAAGGAAGCAGAAGATACAGATTGTTAAGTCTTTCAGTGAATGTCACATCACACAGTTGCTTGTTGTTTAACATAAAGGGGCAGTAAATATAACTGGATAAGTTGCACAAAAAGTTAACATATATTCAACCCAAGCTCCCAGAAATTATCTGTGCATATATATATTGTTTCTTTTGTGAAAGTGTTTGGTAACCATGACAAATGTCAAACTGGTGTTTCCTTTCTGTGTTCACCTTTTCCTTCCCTGCCTGGAAACCTCTATTACAGTATCTCCAGTAGTGGTCCAACTCAATGTCAGTTCAGGTCAATGGGGCACAAGAGGAGGGCTGGACTGGGAATGCTACAATGGGTTGCATTGCAAATGATGAAATAGGTTTTTATGATACATTCAGCTAGATTTTTGCATTGGGATGTCAATTAAATAGTGTTTAGAAATCACCTCTATCACCACATAGTGTATGCAGCAGTTCAGACATCTTTCTGAATATAAATATGCTCTTACTAACTAATGACTGCTGGTTTTAAACTCATATTTTAAAGTCAATTTGCTTTTACATCTGTAACTAGAAAATCTCACTTTAGAGCCAGACATAATGTATTTTCTCTTGTGGAAATCAGTTTGGACTCAAAATGGCCTCCCTTGTCCACCATTCATCCTTACTAATGATGATGGTAGTAACCCCTTTACTTTTCTGTAGTTCAGGCTTTGTTACCACTTAAATATTTGGATGTTTACAAACATTAATTGCTTTGGTATACTGTAATATTAAACAGAGAAAAAGGGAAGGGAAGGGAAGGGAAGGGAAGGGAAGGGAAGGGAAGGGAAGGGAAGGGAAGGGACTTCACAGGAGTTGTATTTACACATAGATAATACACATGCACCTACACATACAGCCATGTTGCTGAATCACGTAACTCCCCTGCCATATAGTTCAGTTAGTAAATAATTTTTTATTTGACTGAAATAAAATGGAATACATATAGAAATATTTTAAATAGAACATTATTTTTCTCTGTAAAATTTTCAACCAAAACTGCTTCAGATTATCTTTGAAAAGCGTCATAGTCTACGAGAATATACAATACTTTTTTTTTCCTAGGTGTTATTGGAAACCTGAGATTGCCGTGTATTTATGAAAAAACAGTCCTTTATCTCCATCATGTGAAAATTCATCTTAATTTTAGATAGCATAAATTTCTTATGTTAGATAGTATGTGTTCCTGTGATGATCATCTTAAAATACAAAAATACTGGCTTTATATAGTTTATCAGATCTAGTTTTGACAGATCATGTCAATTATAGCTTCACCAATATAACAATTTAACTGTTTGTTTATGTATGGCTAGTGAAAATAATAGCAGCTATATAAATGAAGCATTATTATCAGCACATAGGTGATAAATAAACATGAGTTAATAAACACAAAGTTTAAAATAACAACATATGCAATGTACTTTTAGAGAAAATTCCCTTAGTCCTTTGTTTGTTTTCTTGTTTTTAAAGAGGCTATGGAGCCTAGCCATCTTCTCAGTAATTTGTTGATTAGCAGTGTTCTTTTATATATTATGAAGTTTTGTTCTATTAATTTTAAGAAAAATATTTATTTCTGCATGTATCATTTTGTTGGTTCTTAAAAACCATACATTGCACATAGTCATAAGTATGTATGCACACAGTTGTTTAATACATTATCAGAAACTCTGACTGTATAAGGAAATCTTTGCTTTAATGAAGGAAATGGTGAGAAAAAATTTTCCATAAATCTTGTGCAAGCACCGTTTCTTCATCATCTTGAATAATATAAACATGTTTACAAGTAAGAATTGTTGTTTCATGGTACCAACCATATTTAAAATCTTTTGTAATGTAGGAAGGGCTTTTACTCTGGCCATATATACTTACAAACATTTTTATTACTTTATACAGTTTTTCCTAATTATTGTCTTAAGAAAAGAGTAAGTTTTCAGATAACAACTAGATATTAAATTGGAATGAAAATAATAAACAATAAAAGAGAGAAAATATCTGAAAATTAAGCCTTAAAAGCAGTCTATCTTACAAGTTTAAAAACATGGTGTTCCCTTGATCTGCATGGGATCCCTGGTTACATTTAATTGTGTTAGTAACAAGTAAATCTGGCAATGGATGAGAAATGAATAAGCTTACTTAAAGGAAGACCAAATGTACTAGCAGTACACAGAAATAACTTTCAGAAGAGCCTGGTATTTTA